GCCTCTTTTCCAAGGGAGAAAATTTTAAGGGTTGTACAAACTTGTAAAAATTTATCGAACCTTCCGACTTCCTATTAATAATTCATAGGCAAGGAATCTCGAGTTGCATGCTACAAAGAGGCAAGTATTGGGATAAATCTTTACATCGGATTTGCCGACTTAAATGCTTATTTGTAAGAATTTTGCATCAAATCAATTAGTATAAGACTTATCTTGAATACCAACTGAATGTATACTAATTGGTGGGAACGCTAAACATACAATGTCTTTATAGTACCCAATGAAGGCTATTGACAAAGATCGATTTGCCGGAGAAGTTTAGGGGGTGGATGGAGCTGATTGAGAATGTAAGAAAATTAGTAACCATACAACTCGCCTAATCATATTAGTCATCTCAGAATACGTTCAATTGATCCGAATGGCTTGGTCAAAACAACGATAAACGATTTGTCAAACTATTGGGGTTTTTGAGATGTAATCGTGAGCACGTAGATGAATCACTTGAAATGCGGAAATAACACTATCCGAAATACTCTTCACGACAAAAAATACTTAATAGTAACGAAGCATCTAAACTGAAGCCCAAGTAATGCACAAATTCAGTAAATTTATGAAATAGAGCCGTATGTAAATCAAATTCTGAATCTCTTTGGTTCTCGCATTTTATCCAAAAAATATAGTTATAGGTTTGAAATTCAAATTATGATATTATGAAGGACATGTCTTGCCCACAGTTTTCAGAGTTGACCAGATGGATTGACATATGAAGCTAACCCAATACAAATTTTTGTCACTATCTCTTGATAGCCAAGTTATTGTGTGTCAAGTTCATCTTGGATTTGTTTACCTTACACTAAAATTTTTTAAATTAAATTAAATTAACTTGTGAATTTGAATAGAGTTTTGAAAATTCGGGAAATTTTCACGGATGGTTCTCTCTAGACAATAGAGATTAGAATAAATCTCCTCTTTTTTCCAATCTGGCTTAGTAACCAGACAGAAAATATTTGGGGTGAAAACGAATGTTGTTAGTCCATGAGGCAAAAAAGTGCGTTTCCATCCGGTCCCATCAAGCGCATGCAATTGGACATATTTGATCATTAATGAAGCGTGTGCTTCACATCGAAATTCCCTCCCCCCCCCACCCGCCTCCCTAAGTGGTGTTTAAATGTCTGCCATTGCTATTCACTTCTTAATTTTGGTCCTTTTCTCGCGTAAGCACTTAAAAGAGGACCGACTAATCTATTCAAATCAGCAATTAACATTGATTCTGCCCTCTTTTCAACCACTTGCTCAACTAAAAGTGGCATGCTTTTTTCTACTTATCGCCAATCACTGCACACTATGGAGAATGAATGGATATACGATCAAACGGAATTGGTCATTTAATTTATTTATAAATATGACGGAGGTGGTTCCTTTACCGTGCTGCATGTAGTGGGCAGAGAGCTAAGTAATGCTAAGCTTCAGTTGTGTAGTGCACCCAAATTGGATACTATAGACCATTAGATCTGTTGGAAAATAGTTTGAGAGTCAATTTGGAAACACTTGCGCTGAATTTCAGCCTTCATGAACAATATGGGACTTGAATTTATTTGATTATGCTTATTTACGTAATCTGTTTAAAACAGACAAAAGGCACACATCAGGTATTGCCCCGGTTTTAAGTATTGGTGGTGCTATAGGTTCCATCTGTATGGCTTCCAGTTCAGCACTTACAGTAAGAAGGTGTAAGCCAATCAATTTAACGCCTTAGGACACATAATGCTCCCATTTTTTTAAAATCGAAATTCTCATACGATTGTCAAGGGGATTGGAGACTTGAGCTTACAGTCCTAAAGAAGTAGTTTAGACTTGGATGCCTAGTTGAGCTGGCACTAGGTATGAAAGCGAACAAGTTTGAGAGCCACCTGTCATCTGATTCGTTAATCAAATTTGCCTGGGGCGTTCTCGACCAATAAAATATACGCGTGCTCATGGCCAATAAACGCCGGCCACAGCCGTGCATCAGGACGAGGTGCGTTGTATTGCCCATCAGCAAGAGCGTGGGACTTTATCCGTTCACTATACCTCTTTAGTGTCACCGATAGAACACGCAAAAAAGCAGTCAATAGCCACATTATCTGACGTGAAAAACACGGGCCTTAGTCTCTCATTCCTCTAAAACCACTATGAGATTGTGGATATTTCTCATTCTTGGGATTTTACTCCCGTTTTTCCCACTTTTTGCCTCCTCTGATCGGCACACTTGGAAGTCCTGGTATGGATATAATAAACGTAAGTAACATACACTTCGATTAGTTTCGGATTTAATTTTCCATTTTTCAAACGTCTTATTCAGTATACATTTTAGTCGTTTTTTAGGCTAGACGGATGATTAATTTAGAGGTGAGATACGGACGGGTTGACCTTAAAAAATGTTTCATTAGTCGCGTAAACGCAAATGGCCTTAAAATGTGTGGGTTCATTACCGATTTTGACCTAATAATTAACTCCTAATCCTCCTTCTAAATAGAATTAATGTAGTTTTCCATGCCTTTTAATTAGAAAGGAAAACCTCCTAACGATATTTCATAAAATTGATGGACTAATAAAAATGAGAGGTGTTTTTTGATGTCTGAAAATATATGGGACTGGTGGGCGATTCAATTTTATGCTCTAAACTACTGGAATGGGCTAGTTTCATAAAAAAGGAGTCCTGATGATGCTTTTAAGCTACTCTTTCTCTGCAAATAGTAAGCGCAGTTTGACGCATATTCGTTTTCTAAGAAGAATATTCCAGATAGTTCTCCTTAAATGTCGCATTTAGGCAAGACCAAATTTGGAAAGTGTACGACAGAGGAAATGAATGTGTAAAAATAGTCAAGCACATCCATTTTTGACCATTTTTGTGTCAAGTCTCTTAGTCACTCCAACTGCCATTTTAACTGACTAATATTCCACATTGGCGTTTTTCTACTGAAATTGGGAAAATATGATGGTAAAGAGGAACGAAGCATTCTCTTTCTTCGACTCGATCCCTTTTAATAACCCATTTATTAGGTTGAGCATGTGAGAATGCATCTGTCCATTGGAATTTATGGAGAAATCATTCATAATCTTAAATATCCACTTTTCTGTTAAGACACTGTCTCACTTGAAAAGAAGAAATTTGAGAAAGAAAAATAATTGATTTTTCTATTTCGCATGAAAAAAAACTTTTCCTTCAAGCAATTTTTGCCCCCCCCCCTCATTTCCTATATTTATTTAATAATAAATGAGTCACTGTTTTCCACTTTCCTTGACTGTCTATAATTTCTGTAATTCCCACTGCATTTATTGAGTTGCCATTCTGTAAACGATACTCAATTCAAACTCAAACTCTACAATGCCAGAAAGGTCCAAAGGTAACTCAGTTGAGCAAGCTTTCTTGGCCATTTAAAGAAGAATTTTTTGCAGGCTTTTGTTGCCTAGTGTCCCAGTAATTTTAACAATGATATCATTGCCACTAACCACATATCTGAACTAGATGGAATTGAATAAATGCAAGCCACGTAATTGTAAGCCTAACCTATAATTGTCTTGAAAGCTTATCTACAAATACTTTCGCCTTGAAAAGTAAAAATATGAATCCTTTAGGGGCTGTAGAGTTTTGAATAAAATTTAAGGTATTTAGCAATTCGAGTTTCACGAATGAAACCGCTATTCACTCTACCTTCTTCCTCCGTTGACGTTATTTTGAAGGGTATGCCAAATCCCATTAAATAGATGCTTCTTTAGTTGTTCACTGCTGAGCTATGGAAAACATTGAAAATGCAATTGACTCATATTAATGTAGTCTATGATTCATTGAGCCAATCGGATTTAACTAAGCGAATTTTGTATTTAACTCCCGTGCCAAATTTGCCCCCCACATGATGTGCGTATTTGAGGGGGGGAGGGGGAGGGGGAGGGGGGGGGGAGCCATAACAAAGTTACTGCTCCCCTGCTTTGTTTGCTGCGTTCTCATTAACTTGGGATTTGCGATTCAGCCCGGGGATTTTGTTCCCCCACCCCCTCCCCTCCTGGTTCTTAGAAAATCTAATCACAGCCACTATTGTTTGTTGTTAAAATAGGGTGTAAGATTTGCCGTGTGAATCAACTTCGCTGGTTATAAGGACAGAATTTATCATTTATGCAACTAATTGATTTAACGAAATTTATTACAAGGTTTCTGGTTATTAATGAAATATTTACTGTTAGTTGTGGTGGATTTCTGACTCCCTGGTATAATTTAAAGAATAAAATATGTTTTATTTCGTTATTGAAGGACGAAAAATTAGAATTTTATTTAAAAGACGTTTTTGAGTCGATAAAAAACGTGAGAAATTATGCGATTCTGGATTTGATAAGGGTGAAATTCTTTCACTTGAGATAAATGTGCAATTTCATTTGACAAATGCACTTGATAACTGGCAGATCATGTAAAATGCCACCACATTGAGGCATATTTAATAAAGCATGGCTTAAGATGGTTATAGAAAAAAACTTCCTGACTCAATTAAACAATGGTATATGATTGGCATCTCAAAACCTCTTATGTTATTAACTTATATTCCACCTTTCCTCTTGTTTAACGAAATTTTCTAATATCAACAACAGTACTGATTTCTACCGATGATGCCTGATCGGACACAACTATAAGTTTACTCACAGAAACGTGTCACAATCTTTAAAACAGTATGAGTGACGTTTCAGATGCTTTTATTGGAAGAGGAAAAGAGGGAATTTGCCTCATCCACAAGGATGACTGATTTTCCCACGGTCATAGAATTTTTGTACATGACCTGGCGTTTTGAATTCCGAACGACTTCATCTGGCTTCCAATTCCTTCACCTTATCGATTAATTTCAAAATTGAGTAGATTTTCATTTGTAAAATGTTTCATAGTATTCCAAACCACTCATTTGGTTATATCCACCTAAAATTGGTGGTCGACAAGTTGGGGATAATTTGTACTTATGATGACTTTTGATTTGTAGACCAAGATAAGCCACTAAGTGTGCAAATAGGTCTATTGGAGAAGCAACCTCGGCGATTTCCACTACAGAAAGATGATCCAAGAAGCACAATTCCATACGTGGCATTGAAATTGACGTGGAAACGCCCAGCTGAATTCGCGAATTTGCCTGGCTTGTTGATATATCAAGTAAGATTTGATATAAAATAGAAATGCCCATGGTAAATCGAGAAAATACCCAGATTTCACCAGATGTTACAAAAAATTTTGTAGTTTCCAATACATCGTTGGTGCGATTAAATAGAAGCCCACCAATTTCTTTTAGTCAGAGTAGCCAACTGTGGTCATCCACCTAACTGAACAAATTATCTGAACTCATGAACTAAAACCAATCGGTAGAAGCTAAGATCTAAGTTAGCAGCCAGTAACACTTCCATAGAAGCAGAAAACCAAATATGTTGTAGGGCAAAGTGGGTGGAAATGTCGAATGAAGAATAGAGGAGGTAAAAGAGTGACAAGGTACGGAGGAGGTTGAAGGGAGATGCACGAGCAGGTAAGTGGCAAGCGTAGCTGTATGAGTGGAAATACAAAGGCGGCAAGGACGCTGGTGAGGTGGCTACAACTTGTGTGTGGAATTACCCATTTATGAGAGAAATGCGAATCGGTAAGCTCTTCAAGTTAAATCAGGTAGGGGTTTGGGCCTTGAGAGGCCTGAGATCGTAAAAGTGGCTTTGTGGCCAAAAAATCAATGTACTTTCATAGAGGGTGAGCAAAAATGCATGTGGAAATTGTATAAAGAGCCATCCTCCCATGTTCGTTGTGAGCTCATAATGCTAAGATAAGTTCAACAGAAGTTGACAAATGGAGGGTGGAATAAGATTGTGTTAGAATAAAATAACGAAAATAAATTTAGATGGTAACTGCAAGCCATTTAATCGAAATGTTATAAAAGCGATCGTCAATATAAATGAGATGCTAATATTAAACAAATACTACTGTTGGGCCAATTCGGTACTCTAGATTTCCCTAATTGGCGTCGGCCAAGTTTAACGTTGGAATCGGCTGGGGGATTTCGTTACTGTCTCCAGTTGAGACAGTTTTGAAAGAGTTATCTCTTCAGATTTCCATGCTTTCCTCTTTAGTTCCAAGGCAAAATAGAACTTGAGGTCATCGTGAGGTGTTGCGAACGGTTCTTTTTACTACCATTGTGCATTAGCTTGACCACCTCTGCTGTTGGAGCATTGATGAAGTGGGTGAGCTCGAGGGAGAACACAATTTCTAGAATATTCTGTTTGGTAAAGGTGGGAGAAATTGGGTCATTTACTATTGTAACTCAGAAAATTATGAGTTGTGTAGATGGATGAACGTTTTCGTGGTTACCAGTTTGCTGGAGTAAGAGAATCGGTTTCATTTTGTTGCAATAACAGGTGTTGCGGTCATCAATTTAAGAGGCTTCGAGTTGATGTAGTCAATACCTTTAGCGTAACCCCTCGAAATCGATATCGAGAAACTGCCAATATTATTAAATTAAAGTCCTTTTAACTTAAAAACGCAGTTTGACGTAAATTTGGCCAACTTTTAGTCGAGCTCATGGAGATCCGTTGGAATAAATGCAAGCATCATACTATGTATTTGTAAACTCGATTAGATGTCGTGTCAAAGATACTGTTAGAAAAAGGCGTTATGCGATTGCCAATAAAGCGTCTGCTAGATGACGGAAAAAGTGAAATTTATCGTTTTCCACTCAACCATTTGGATTGGTACCTCTATCGATTTGACTACAATGAGTTAATATGTTTCAATTCAGGTGTAGTTTTACAACACGTCTGCCAGTGAGCAACTAATCACAGTTTTACGAAATATGTGATTACGAAAAATAACCGATTAATTTATTTTGAAATGCCACCGGAAATCGAGTCTAAAATGCGTGTTTTTCAGCTTACACTATTTTTATGAATAGAAAATAATTCCGTTGTGAATTTGCTCAAGTGGGCAGTTCTTATCACCTTAACATCTCTAAGTGGAATATATTTCCTTCTTATATATTTTTCGCAACTTATACTATATGTATTTCTTTTTATAAATAAGTTTTATATTTAGTATTAATGAAAAGCATTCAATGTAATTTATGTATACTACTTATTAATAGGTCAGCGCCAGACCAGTCAAGTTGCCCTTAATTGCAACTGAGGCTCGAGTGCCTGGAAGTGGAGAATACGTCTCAGTTATTGAAGCCAAACAAGCTGGAGGTTGGGTTGAAGGAAGCCGTGTTCTTGCCAACGTTTCTACAGAATCCTTCACCTCTACGGAAAGGGACGATTTGGGCAAGTGGACCATAACTATCTATTAATATATGGACGAAACGAGAAATTTTCCTCCCGGGAATGCTAAGGAAAACATAGGCACTTAGACAATTCATTAATTTCCTTAACTCAATGCAAACCGCTCCGTCAGGAATAATTACGATTATTAAAATGGCGGTCTTCAAGAGCTAAGCAGCTTGTCACTTGAGCGAATTTCTTGCTTAATAGGTGAAGTAATTCACTCCTGCATCCTGCAACTGAGTAGGGTATCTTTTAATTAGTATGGATGATTTTGCTATCAGAGAAAAGAGATTGAATTTTGCAGTCATCTCTAAACATCAGGATTGTTGCTCTCTCCTGCCTCCTTTTATCCTTCAAAAAGTATTCATCTCGCGTGATGAAATTTGTTTTAATCAGTTACCGACCTAGTATGCTAGCTGTTGAGCCTGATTTACTTGCCTAATTACTGAGTTTTCAAGATCAATAATTTAATATACAGTGACTCGGTTTATAATTAGACCGCTTGGCTAATGCGTAATCACTTAGATAGGGGGCATTAAGCTAATGCAATAGAAGAGGCGTAATTACTTTCCCTTCTCATGCGTAGATTCATGTTTCACAATTTATTGCCAATGTAACAGTATTTTATTATAAATGAAATGCACTCATTGTACCAAGTCCCAATTCCCAATCTCTAATAAAACTCCTTGAGCACGTTGTATGTATTTTGGATTTATAGTTTCATGCGGGGCTAGTTATTTGGCATGTACTAAATAATTGACGCGAGTTGACGAAAATGCAAATAAGAAAAATCAAATTAGTGCTTTGATCTCAGAATTACTAGGAGATTTAAGTTAGGATTACTAGATAGTAAATTGAGTAAATATAATTTCTAATTACCCTTTATTATATTAGCATTTTATTGAACTTCTGGATTTTAGTAAATTAAACTTTTAGCATATCGTGCGGAAAGTAGGTTTCGGCTCAGATTTACTTAAGACATTGGAATGTAGAAGTAATAAAAGTTGGAATGCACAACATCGTCTCTAACAGGTAAAAATTGCTTCCGTTTACCTATTTTACTCCTAATTCATTACCTTCAGTGTAATGATATTTATATTACATTCAGAGCAATAATTACTGAATGAATGCATCAATAGCCGTCATTTGTACTTTTCATACAAACCTTAAAGAGCATCCTTTGGATTGCGTGTAACAGAAGGCCAAGTCTTTAAACATTCTAAGATAAGTTCTTTTGACGTTTTATAGGTTTGGGCATAACATATGAATTTCAAATAACTGTTATCAATTCAACTATGAAGGGGATCTCAGAGCGAATCAATGTGACTACTCCAGAGAGTCGTAAGTTTAATTTTCATTAAATTTTATACTTTCACGTTATTTCACTTAAATAGCTCCTAAGTAAAGGCAGCTTATACGAAATTATTGAATTTTGAGACAAATTACTACTCAGATATATTTGCCGTCAATTAATAATACTGCCTTATTTAAAGCCAATGGAAGGTTTTATGATAGTTATTAACGGCCGTTTGGTTGACTTTGAGCTTCATAGGGGGGGGGGGATGGGAACGAAGGTAGAGAAAAGAAAAAGAGAGAACTATGGAAGTGGTCGAATATGGCATGTAACGGGGACATGGTAGGCTGAAGTCAGAAGTCAGCTGATGGTTTATAGACTCTTTGCCGTATGAGTATACGTTGCTCAGGATGCACTCCAATAATACTACTTTAGATTTCATTATTTCAATACGTTAAAAAAATTTCATGATCAAATTATTTGGTTAGATTAATTAATCGATCGTACTTGTTTAGGAGAGTCATTCATTAAAAATGAATCTACCCGTTCGGTATTTTTCATTCATTAGTATAAGGTACATTGTAGGTGTTCTAAAGGTATGTTGTGTAAGGCTTAATAAGATGGATAATTTCCCCGAAAACCCTCGAAATAGTGAATCATCATCTCATGCTAGACTCATAAAAAGTAATGTGCTCCCCCCCCCCAATGACAGATTTTCGCGGCTTCGAAGCATCGATGACGTAAGATCTGATACGCTTAATAACACCCATCGTCTTACAGCTACTGCTAAGATCGTAAAGGAAAAAGTCTTTTCTCCTCAATTCGGCAATTGAATGGCGTAGATGATCCACCAGTTCATAAGACGCGACTGGCAAATGCATGGGCATGCAAACCTTCGTTCTGACTAGAATTTGTCATCCTCAAACATTCAATGCCCAACTTGGTCTCACAGTTCTAGGAGAAATCTTTTTTCAGAAATTTAACCTCTTTTGCCTTTAGCATAAATACCATCATTGCCTATGAACCTCCAAATTTTAGTTTTCATAGTGTGTAACGGAATATCATCATTGAGCCTCCACTGAGAATCTCAACTACGTCTTTCTTTTTATTAGCCCGACTTAGATACCAAGGTTAATAAATTCGCTCACTGGGTGTTCACTAGTGTTAGAAAGTTTATTCAAGTAAGCGAGGTGATTACATATGTTATTTTCACCTAGGTCCCTCAGGTTTTCCGGTCAAAGTACGCCTTCGACCAATAAATGCTACCTGGGTTGAGGTGACCTGGGAGCCGCCGCCTCTTCTTCTTAGAAACGGGTTTCTCACCATCTACTACGTTCGATTCTACGTAGACGGGGAGGAGAGTGAGACGGAGCAAATGTACACCATCTTGATTCCCGAGCAACTCAAGTACGTCGCAAAAGACCTCAGAAGCCAAGCGTACTACCACTTCATGGTACGTGCATGCAATACCGGTGGAGTCGGGCCGTGGTCACCTTCGAATAACTTCCAGACAGCTGGTGAAAGTAAGCAAATTTCAATATCCTCTCCGGTTGCATCTTCACTATAGAGGTGTCTTTATTTAATGATCTTGATTTGATCAAGATACTATTCTGTTGCAACTTTTAGTGATAATTTCATAAAGCCTAAATTATCAGATTTTCCTATACGAGTCGGCTGAACTACGATATGGATTGCATATTACAAGAGTGTTCCAACTGTTTACCAAAGCTCATCTTTTGGTGAAAATTCTTACTTCGCAACATCTCAAGTTAACTGTTTTAGTTGGTTCAATTATTCTCTTTATGTGCCTTGAGTAAAAACCAACTTCTGCATTCTAAAGTGGTAAGTGGACATGTTGGTAACTGTGTCATCAAGGGATACACAGCTGCAGACTTTTAACCACTTTAACGGCGATATATTTGCTACTCAGGCAAATAGGCATAGGGTAGAAAAGCTAGGTGGCAATAATTACATAAAATCAGGGATTTGAGAGCCATACGCTATTCAAATTCTGGATGGTTTGATTTGTCCACTTTCCTTGCATTATAGACACAGTTAAGTGAGTGACGTGATGTTCTAAGAGCTATTATTCATGACTGCCTGACTTCTGATAGTATGTTTAATTTACTGCCCTAAATATTCAGAACTTACTGATCAGGTGATTTAATTAGTTGGCCGCTTTAATTAATTTGCATCCTCTGCAGGAAATGGCACGTAAATGGCAGACTGCCAAAGATATTTCAATTACAACAAAGTTCACTAGAGTCTGTAATTAATTTCATAGTTCAAGCATAAATTCGGCAATGCAAAGCAAAACTTTCACTGGATTATCTTGTTATAATTCAATTTAGGAAATATATAATGTAGAAAGGTATTTCGATTTTCAACTTTTGGATAAGGAATGCATTTGGATTAATTCTAAGTGGAGACTAGCATTAGTTCAAGCGGCCAAATTCCTAGTTGGTCAAAGCCTCAAACAGTGCCATCAGATTCATGATTTACTTCTTCTAATTGTCTTTCATTTTTCTCCGTTAGTCCGACTAAGAAGTATTCACATTTTCCCATCCTATCTTGAAAAAAAGTATTTAAGGTTGGGTACCGTGATATTTATAGCAAATTTAATCAAAAAAGAAATGAAAAGTACTACTTTGTTAATTGTATGGCGACATACTGATCACCTTTTGGGCTAATTCAATTACCAGCTTTTTTCTCCATTAATTTTTCTATCCCAATCACAACGTATTTAGACACATGACAAGGGGAAATATTTCCTACTGCAAAAGGGAATTGCTCATATTAAATATTCACCAGGAGTTAGCTCTACAAACTACTAACCTATGCATGCTCTAGTTAAGTGTCAAATTTTGTTTCATTTATTCAGTGTGCCTAAAAGTCTCCTTTTATAGTCTTACCTCTGAAAGGAACTCTTGACGCAAATTTTAGCCTTGTGCTCAAAAATATTTTGGCAAGTTAATACTATCTACTTAATTACCTGACTCAGTCATTAACACGATATTGTTCTTTGTGTTATAAAGGCCATTTTTACTGAAGTATTCAATGAAGTTGCTTAGCTATCATATAATGGAACAACTCTCTCACCCAACTTAACAGTTCATTTGCTATTATCTCGTTTGTGCCAATTAATAATAGCATCAACGGATGATGATGACTTTAACACGATGAAATCCAAATATCTTCGAAGTCTTTATTCTGTATTATGTGTTCTAGAGGATATGCTTAAAGCATCTGTCAGCAATAGTAAGATTTCATGAATATAATTTTCCTTCGTTACATCATATATCTGCCCCGCTGGAGGTATATGAGACGAACATATTCACCACAACTTATCAGATTGACTGTTTACAGAAAGTGTGCTTTATGAAATCAAAGACATGCATTTGATCGAAACCAGGAAAAATTTCTCGTCACCTTCAATTGATAAATTTATTTATTTATATCAAATGGCAGGCGTCTTGATGGTTATCATTAGCCCTTTAGTTGACTTCAGGCTTCACAGAGGGGAAGGAACATCAAATTGGAAAAAGTCGAGAGGGGGGGCAGAAGGATGTTTCAAAGGTGTAAAAGAGGCGGACACAAAGGTAGAAAAAAGGTGAGGTGAGTACTGTGAAAATAGTCAAATATGGCATAGAATGAGGTGATGGTAGTTTGAAGTGAGAAGTCAACTGCCAGTTAATAGACTTTTATGCCGTATAAATATACGTTGCCCAGGGTGCAGCACATGGAGGTTAGTCT